AAGTGGCCAAAGAGCTGGTTCTCACATTACTACCATGAGAAAAAAAAATATGGCAAACACCAGCTTCTTGAGTCTGAAAGACCAAATTTGAATTCTGCCTCAGACAATCAATAGTTGCATGACCCTGGGTAAGTCACTCAGCCACACTCAGCCTCAGTTTCCTCATCTGTCAAATGGGGAAAATAATAGCACCTACATCACAGGGTTGTTGTGAGGGAGGAACAAATAAGATTGTATACGTAAAGTATTTTGTAAGTTTTTAAAGCACTATACAAATGCTATTACTTATTGCTGATAAATAACTGCCATTTGTATATCACTTTAAAGTTTGTGAAGCATTTTATATATGTAGTATCTCATTTAAGCCTCACAGCAACATATAGCTAAGTACTACTCATGTTTATAGACCCATTTTACAGATGAGGAAAATGAGATTCAGAGGGGTTATAAGTGACTTGCCCATGGTCTCACAACTATTCAGTCAGTGACAATACTTGAATCCAAGCCCCTGAAGACTAGAAATCCAATGCCTTTTCCATTCTACCACAACGCCTCATACTAAACTAAAGATGGAAAGCAAAACTGACTTCTTGGTTACTTAAAAGAAACTACTTGGCAGAGTTCAATATAAGTTACTAAGCCCAGATCTCGCTAACTGTGAATATAGTGTTCTTTCCATTAACACCATGCTATTTTTCTTAAGTACCACATAAAGTCACCTTCTTGATAAGTTTTATTATTCATACTGATGAAGTTCAGGGTACACCCCAAAATGCTGAGTTGTCCGGAAAGAATTCAATCAGGCTGTCCCCAAGGCAAGTACAGATGTTTATTGGGGGTAACACACAACACAACACAACACACCAAACTGACTCCTTTGCCTCTGAAAAGAAACCCTAGCTTAAGGGGGACACTCTCTGCTTAAGGAGGATGCCTGCTAAGGAGGACACCCTCCAATTAAGAAATACTCCCAGGGCAGCTAGGTGGCACAGTGGATAGAGCACTAGTCCTGGAGTCAGGAGGACTTGAGTTCAAATCCGACCTCAGACACATAACCCTCATTAGCTGTGTGACTCTGGGCAGATCACTTAACATCAATTACCTCACTGAAAAAAAAAAAAAGAAAAAGAAAAAAGGAAAAAAAAGAAAAGAAAAAAAGAAATACTCTCCCTAGCCAGAAGAGGCGAGGGATTCTTATAGAGTGGTCAAGGAGAAGCCCATTATCTCAAGTACCACTTAAAGCCACTTTAGGAGACTGAAGTAGGCTGGTAACTAAAAAGGGGCCCTCCCCCCTCGGTCCCTTTCCTGGGGTGAACTATGGAATAGATAATGCCCCAAACTCTGAAACTACAGTCCCTGATTACTTCACCTCCCCACTCCCTTGCCTACAAATCACTAGTCACCTCACCTCCCCGCCTAAGGCAGATTTTACTCTATAAGAATCCCTAGCCTCTCCTGGCTGGCAGAGGATTCCTTAATGGGAGAGTGTCCTCCTTAAGCAGAGAGCATCTCCCTTCAGCTGGGGTTTCCCTTAAGGGGTAAAGGAGACTGCTTGGTGTGTTGTGTTGTGTTGTGTTGTGTTGTGTGTTACCTCCAATAAACATCTATACTTGATTTAGAGATAGCCTGAGGGAATTCATTTGGGACAACCTTGCACCCCAACATTTTGGGGTGCATCCTGAACCTCATCATTTCATCAATATTCTACCATACTTACTCATTATTTAAGAAAAATCAACATTAAGCATATCATTTATAACAGCTTATTCATAACAAATCAAAGATCCCATCACTGAGTTTACAGTTGCAGCTTAAAGAAATCCACATATGAACTCATTCAGTGGTGACAAAACAATGTATACAGACAATTTGGGAAGAAGGCAATAGTATTAATCCATTGCAAAAGAAACTATGATGTCTATAAATTATTAAGGAGAAATCACATCATTTTCTATGTAAGCCTTCTAGAATACTAAGCAATTTACAAAGAGCAGTAATGACCTCTTGTTATTACTATACACAGTGGGTTTAACCTAAGTTGAGGTTTTAAATGGTTATACATAAAAAGGGAAAACTATGAGGATGAAAGGGGTTCTTTTCTATTTCACTAACTCAAAAAATTTGAAATTAAATCTAGAGGCTAAAATACTGTGGTTGGAATAAATGCCTTTGCTTTTTTGGCCCAAGTCAATGGTCAAAACAGATCACTCTCTTACATATAATTAGAAAATCTGTTCTTTAATGGTTCTTTAATGGTTAAAAGGTCACTCTAAGTTTCTAATATACATGCTTTGCTAGACAGAGATGTCCTCTCTGCAGATATCAAGTGCTATAATTCATCTGTCAAATGAATTTCCCTTAAAATCATCTTTTTTGTCAATATCACAATATTAATTATTAACAAAACTCACAAGAGAACAACAAATTATTTATGAACGAGCAAATGCAAGAATTAGCATGAAATCTATAATGAGTTTATTTTCCATTCTTTAATACAAAAATAAATATCTTCTTTTGCTCAAAAAATACTTGCTTGTCAAGGCAAGTGTGACTTGTCAAAGTCAAAGCAAGGTTGACTCTGAGGCGAAAATACTTTATTACTGCATTACAAAGAACAGTAGGGTTCAAATATTGAGGATAGCAATTGACAAAGCCAGTTAAAAAGGTCTCTCCAAATAAAGAATTCATGTGAACTACCAGTTCTACCAATTGAGAATATTAAAAACTCAATAAAATACAGCCCTTTATATTCACAACATTTAAATTCTTAATCCTTGATTGTCCATATAAGTAACAAAACACAATTTAGTACCTTGATTTAACAAGGTTAAGCTTTTGAAATGCTGGAATGAAAAGTATCTTGTTTTCTATAAAGCCAAGTAAAATTGTCAGTCAAGTCCCAAATCTTGATAATGGTATCACTTTAAACCCACAGTATTTCCTTGTTCACAAAACCAAAAGAAGGACAATCCTAAAGCACAGAATTATTACAATATACTTATTTTTGGTCCACTTTTCCTCAGTCCCCTTCTAAGAAGATGTTAGCAAAATGCTCCATCATTAATTTTATATAATCTCACTATTATTTAATATTCCTCGAAACAAATGAATAAATGGAGGTAGACTACGCAGCTGTCAGCACACTTCAGCTTAGTGATTGGGCAGTTGAACAGCACATAGCTCCTGCTCTGTTCCTAACCATACTACCTCCATACTACCATGAAGAAAATAATCATTCTTTTAAAAAAAAAAAACTTCTAAAATGACTGAAGCATCTTTTGGAGAAACAGAAAAAAACCCACTTTTTAAACACATCCTCAGACTAGATAGATATATACAACTTTCTCTGAATTTTGAGGATTAATAAATCAAACCCCCCCAAAAAAAATTGAATCATAAACCATTAAACAAGAAAAAAAGATTTGAAATTTCTGGATACCCCCGTATACTTCTCCACTAATACACATTTCTGACTAGTTTATAGACCCCTAACAGACTTTTAGGTCCTCATTAAGTTTTTAACTGGGCTATTGCTAACAAATGTCTTGACTATTCAAGCAAGGCCACTGAGGTATATTTGCTCTTTCTGTAACTACACAGAGGCGAAAAGTCTTGTTCCTATTTAAACAGTTCTTTCAGCTCTTCCCTCATTCCCTAATGGGAGTCATGGCAGAAACCACAAGTCTCTTTCAGATTTAAATTGAACAGGACAGAATGTCATTTTGGGGACCTGCAGCAAAATAATAGCTGAACGAAGGGAAGGAAATGATGAAGGTGGAGAGATTTGAGAGGAAAAGAGCAAGAGAGAGAGTGCTAGAAAGGTGCCAGTCAAAATTCACAGGCTGATGTGATGCACTCAATGACATAGCACACCCAGATGACAAAAGTCCACGCATATAAACAGAGCAGACTCCTTGCTTAGATTGCTGTGATGCATCTAATTGTGAATAGATGCAAACGCCACCTTTTATCCTTCAACTCCTGTGACAAGAAAGAGGGATCCAAGAGCCGTTAAGCTACACATTAAGAAATTTCTTTATTCCTCCACTCTGCTCCCCTCAATCCAAGCCCCAAACAAAAAGGAGGGGTGAAGAGAGACACAACAAATGTCTGAAATAGTAGGTAGCCGAGCCGAGAGAGGAAAGAACGAAAAGGGGAAGCAAATGAAACGCTGCTCTCTGGACTGCACAACACCCCCAGATTCTGACGGAGGACCTCTTTGCCGGGCGGATGGAGAGCTAACGGAGAAGAGATAACGGAAAAAAGCAGCCCAGAGGAGAGCTCTAGCGGGCGGCCCAGCCAAGTGTCCGTCCAGGTTAGACAGCAGGCAGAAGGGTCGGCGTGGGCACCACTGGGGAGGTGAAGGAGGCGCTCTCTCCACTGCCCGACCCACCCCACCCCACGCCACGCCAGGACTCGATCCCTGCAGGAGGAAGGGGAGGAAATGGCTTTGTATGACAGGATGAGAGGCAGTCAGAAGGATCTCCCCACACACCCCCCCCCCCCCCCACACACACACACACATTCACACACAGACATACACCACATACACACTCTAGTCAGCGTGGGGCAGGGAGTGCTGGGGCAAGAAGATGCCCCTCCTCCCCTCTACACACACACACAGGCACACACACACGCACACGCGCACACACATCCACATACGCGCACACACACACGCGCACACACACACACACGCACGCACACACAGCCAGGGTGAGACATCCCAGCCCCAGCCCCACCCGCTGAGTCCAGAGGTCCAGAGCGTCCCCATCACTCCGGCTCGCGCTCCCGCTCCTCTCAAGCCGCCCCCACCCCCCATCCCCCGTCTTGCGCTCGCGACCACCTCCCCAGCCCCCCAGCCTCGCGCTGGCTCCGCGTGCCTCGGCCACACTCCAACGGCCCAGAGTGGGACCACTGTGCCGCCCCCCCAACCCCCCCCTAGCGGGGGCGCCCCACCCCCACCCCGCGCTCCCGACTCCCCTCAGGCCGGCCCCCCTCACCTGCCCACGAAGTTCTCGAGCACGGAGCTCTTGCCGGCGCTCTGGCCGCCCACCACGGCGATCTGCGGCAGCTCCAGCAGGCAGCTCTGCCCCAGCGCCGAGAAGGCGTCCTGCAGCCGGTTCACCAGCGGGATCAGCTCCTCCATCTCCCGGTTCCCCATCCTGTCTGCCTGTCTGCCTGCCTGCCCGTCCGGCCGGCCCCGGCTGGCTGTCCAGAGCCCCAACCCTCCGCAAGCTCCGCTCCCAGCAGCCGCCGCTGCCCTCGGGGTCCCGGTCCCCTGGATCCGGGCGCTGCCCACCCGACGCCCCGGCTCTTTGCCCCACGGCAGCCTGAGGGCTCCTCTGACAGCTCAGGGTCCGCACCACGCGTGCGCAGCCGAGGGGGCGGGGTCGGCGCTCGGCTCAGCCCTCCCTCCCCTCCTTCTTCCCCTCCCCCTCCCCACTCCCCACATACACACGCACACTCACAAACACATCTATCTATATACACACTCACATACACCCCGTTTTCAGCCGCTCTGCCCCCAAGATTCAGAACACGACATCCCCTTACTCCCTCTCCTTGTCGCCCCCTGCCATTTTCCCCCTTCCCTCCCAGGTGCAGACAGATGTTAAGGCCCCCAGGAAGAGAAGAGTCTTCTCCTTTCTGTTGCGAAGGTAAAAGTGTTTGGGTTAGGAAATGACATAAAAAGTATCGTCCTCCCGCACCACCCTGTGTTCCTCTCTGCCGCAGCAGGGGTCCCGGCAATAACAAGGAAGGGGGACTCTCCCTCCCCGCTCCAATCTCCCACTCATTCCGCGCATTGTTGCCAGATTAATCGACGCCACTCCCCTGCTCCAGAATCTCTAATGGCTCCCCAATGCCCACAGAATTGATTCCAAACACTTCATCCTGTTATTCAAATAAACTCCATTCCATGATTCATTCTAGATCTCCACAAATTGGCCCCACTTTTCTCCTCCCCTCTGCTCTGGTTAGACTGTATCCTCAATGTCCTTCACACCCTGATGTCCCCCCTCCTGAACTGCTTCCCTGCAGAATGCTAAGTATTGTTCAGGGCATGAGGGTAAAAGAATTCTAAAACATTGTTTCTGCTCTCCAAGAGTTTACAATTCAGTTGGGAAGACAAGACAACAGATTAAGCAGTGAAAAAACCAACTGCACAATAAGCTCACATTCCTATAGTATTTTAAGGTTTACCAAGTGCTTTCCACACAACCACCCTGGGAAGCAAGCAGGTAATGCTGATAGGATTACAACAATTTTACAGCCCAGGGAAATTAAGTGACTTATGCAAGGTCACACTAGTACAAATATTAGAGCCAAGAGAGGTAGTATAATGGTAAGAAAGCTCTGGAAAGGCAGAGAGCTGAAAGACCTATGTTCCAATACTGCCTCTGCTGCTCCTAATTTGTGCAACTCAAATCACTTTCCCTCTCTGGGTCTCAGTTTCCTCATCTGTAAATGAAGAAATGGGGCTAAATGTCCTCACAGCTCTAAATCCATGACTAACACCAAAGTCTTTTGTCTCAGTCCAAATTCAAGAGAAGTAACTATGTTACAAGAGAAAGTCTAAATAGAGACAAGGCAAAATACTGCAAGGAACTTGAAGAGGATAAGATCACTTTCTCAAAGCCAAGGGGTTGAGGGGTGGAAGCAAGAGATGGCTTACATATAAGAGGAGGCATCTGAACTGAGCCATGAGGGAAGGAAAGGCATCAACAAATGGAGCTGAGAGTCCATTCCAGGTATGAAGTACAACATGCTCAAAAGCATACTAACAAGAGAGAGCCAGGCAGAATGAGAAAGGAGGAAGAGAATACTCCAATTTGACCAGAAGGTAGACTGTGCGAAAAGGAATAACATAAATTTAGGCCAATATGTTGGCTCTTGTTTATCCTTTGTTCTTAAAGGGGACCATGACATCAGGAAGATGATGCCATGACTCCAGAGTGAATTGGATTTAAGTGAGGCAGGGCTGTGCAAAGTCACCAGCCTCGCTGTCTCCTCCAGAGCCAACAGGGTTCAGTGGCAAGACATAGATCAGAAATGACTGGAGACGGCCCCCTGGCCAGAATGTCGGACCCAGACAGTAGAGGGACTTGAATGCCAGAATCAGAAATGTATGCTTTATTCTCTAGGTAATATCAAGTCACTGGATATAGGAGAGCCTTGATTATAGAAGATAAAAGAAGACTGCTTGGGCAGCAGTGTGGAGGATGGATGGGAAAGGGGGTAAATGTAAAGTAAATTCACGGAAACAGAGCTCTTCACATCAGACATACTTCATTCACATGAATGCAATCCGTGTCAAAACCACTTAGGCAAGCTTGAGGCACCCCAAGTTTGGAGTTTAGTTTAGTAAAAGAAGAACTAAGAGCCTGAACTATCTTTGGTGGTTGTAGCAGGAGTGGAGGGGAGGGGCCACTCTTGATAAATACTGTAGGGGAAGAAATAATGAAGCATGGCAACTGACTGAATATGTGGGGTTAAGGAACAGGGGAAAATCCAAAATCATGGTTAATAAGAAGAGAAAAATTAGAAGAAGAGGGAATCCTAGGAAAGAAGATAATGAGTTCGGTTTAAGACATGATGTGTTCAAAATTCTGAAAGGATATACAGGTTGTAGGATATAAGTTAAAAGGATATGGCTAGCAGGCAATTGGAAGTAAAAGATGAGTTCAGAGGATGCCTAGAGCATAGGGGCATAGAATTTGGAGTCATTTGCATAAAAGTGATCATTAAAGTAATGGAAATGTTCAAAGTCAACAAGAGAGAATATGGAGAGGAAGAAAAAAAAAAGCCTAGAATAGAAACTGGAGGAATCTGCTATGAAAGGGAGGTGGAGGAAGAGCCAGCAAAGGAAATAGAGAAGTAGTCAGCCAGGTGAAAAAAAAAATAATAAGTGCAATTCACCAATCGGAGGGGTGGTCCATATTATACATCACAAAGAAGTCAAGGTAGATGAGGACAGAAAAAAAAAGGACCATTGGATTTGTTAATAAGGAGGTCATTAGGGACCATAGAGAGAGACATTTCAGTTGAACAATAGGGAGGGAACCTAAAAAAATGAGTAAAAAGTGAATAAAGACTGTGAAAGAAAGCAGACAAGAAGAAAGCTTAGAAAGGTGGTAGGGTCAAGGAAAGGTTGGCTTTTTCCTTTTTTTAGGATAGGAAACTGAGTATGTAAGCTAAATGGAAAGATGTATGAGATTTGAGAAGGGATGATATCTAGAAGTCACTGAGGAGAAAGATGGGGATGGGAAGGTTCTTTAGCTCAAATTCAGTGCTATTTCCATTATGCCACTACAGGGATCACTGTGGGCTGGAAGAATGTTTATTCTATCTTACTAGTATTATTCAGGTCCCAGCTACTCTGTAAAGATTCTTCCCAACCACTCATACCCACAATCAATCCACACGTATTTATTGTGCTTCCTCTGTGCAGGTATAGTGATAAGTGTTAGGGATACAAATACAAAGAGCAATTCCTTCCCTCAAAGAGCTTTCATTACAGAGGGGTAGACAGCACCTATAAAACAGAATGTACAAGATTAATGCAGAGAATGTGGAAAGTAAACTTAGAGGGGACAGTGCTAGTAGGATATTGAGTGATGAGAGATGGGGGCAAGAGGGAACCAAGGAAGGTCCCCCAGCATTTAGCACAGTGCCTTGCACGTGTTAAGTGCTTAATAAATGTTTATTGATTAATTGATTGACATTTGAACTGAGTCTTAAAGAGAGCCAGAGATGCTAAGACTTTAAAGGTGAGAGAGAGAGAGCATTCTAGGCATGAGGAACACTTAGTGAAAAGGGAGATGGAGTGCCAAGTTTGAGGAAGGCAAGTATGGCTTGATCATATAGGGAATAGAGGGGAGTAGCATATAAGACGGCATGCAGCTCGGCAGATTGGGCAACTAGATGCAGCAATGGATAGAGTCCAGGATTTGAAAGAAAGACCTGAGTTTGAATCCTGCTTCAGCTCTTACTAGTTGCATGACCCTGTGCAAATCATTTAACCTGACTGTGCCTCAAGAGATTCAGGGCTTCAGGATGGAGGTTTTCCCAGAATAGGAAAGAGACTGCTGAGGAAGAAAAGTCCAGAGAGTGAGTTGAGGTGTGAGTGAAGTAAAACATGGCTGAGGCCTTTCCTCAAATAGTAATTGTCAAAAGTGGGATTTGAACCCAGGTCTTTTGACTCCAGAGGCAAGGAAGGCTCTTTCCAGTGTACTGTTCTGTCTTTTTCTCATCTATAAAATGAAGGAGTTGGACTAGACAGGGGTTCTTGACCTGGTGTCTGTGAACTTTTAAAAAATATATTTTGATAACTGTATTCCATATATGGATAAATTGGTTTCCTTTGCAGTCCTATATATTTTATTTTATGCATTTAAAAATGTTATTCTGAGAAGGGGTCCAATGGCTTCACCAGACTGCCAAAGGGGTACTCGACACAAAAAAAAGGTTAAGAACCACCAGCCTAGATGGACTATACATATTCAAAATAATTGTTCATTCCTCAAGGTGAAGGATTTCTTTAAGCTGTGACCATAAAATAATAAGATCTATTAAGGTTTTTTTTTTAAACAAACATACTTGATTGTGGACTTTGAATTTGTGAGGCTATCACATCTTCCAGCTGTACTGAGATTACTCAAAGCACTTACAGAATTCCACTTTGGGAGTCACTTTCAGAGCTTCTTGACAAGTCATGTGAGTACCATTACTTGACAATCACGCTTCACTCAGGGCCAAAAATGGTATTAGCCATCTTTATCACCTTGCACCTTATTCACCAGATTTGGCTTGATATGACCTTTGGCTGTTTTAAAAAACTCCAATCTAGGGGCAGTTGAGTGGCGCAGTGGATAGAGCACCGACCCTGGAGTCAGGAGGACCTGAGTTCAAATCTGACCTCAGACACTTAACACTTACTAGCTGTGTGACCTTGGGCAAGTCACTTAACCCCATTGCCTAGCCAAAACAAACAAACAAACAAAAAAAAAACCCTCCAATCTACCTTCAAAGGATGAAGATGATCCCGTTACAAATACACCTCTGACAAGTTTTGAGCACATCAGATATAAAAATGTAAAGACTAACAGAATTTACATTTGGGTTACTACTATTAGATTTTAAATCACTCTCCTCACTACAATCCTGTGAGGTACATATTGCAAGT